GTTCACGCACATGCCCATGAGCCCGCGGTCCATGCCCGTGATCAGCCGCCCCACGCCCACCACGATAGCCACCAGGCTGCTGCGGTCGTAGCTGGGGACGGGGTGGGGCAGAGGGCTCAGGTGCACGCAGGCAGGGGGCGCCATGCGCATGCGCGCACTGTCCCTCCAGGAGCCCGTGGGGGGTTGCCCTGCTCCCCCACCACCTCTGGACACATCAGGAGGCCCGGGCTTTGCTCCAGGGTGCGGGTGGGTGACAGATGGGCACTGATTCTGGTCACTGAAAGGAGGAGGGTTTGTTGAGCTCTTACTACACTCCACATTCAATGCTTGGCAATTTACACTCGTTATCTTTTTTAAAAAATTTTACTTATCTGTTTATTTATTTGCAATCCTTGGGATTAGAGACAGGGCCTTTACATTGAGCTGCATTCCCAGTCCTTTCTCATTTGAGGCAGGGACTTACTACATTGCCCAGACTGGGCTCAAATTTGAGATCCTCCTGTCTCAGCCTCTCAGAGTGCTGAGGTCACAGGCCTGCACCACCACACCCAGCTCACACCCTACCTGAGTGAAGCCTCACAGCAGGGATTATTGTTTTGCTCTGCTCAGGAGGAGGCCAGAGACCTGAGATTAATGCCTTGCTCTGAGTCCCACAGCTCCACCGGGGTCCGTGGGCTCCAAGGGCCCCATTTTGGCCAAGGTCCCACGAATTCTCCAAGGAAAGAGGAGAAAGGAGAGATGACCAGAGGTGGGCATGGGGTCCGCATTGCACTTTCACCAAAAAGACCTATTTCAAACATCCATTGCTTTTACCTGTTTTTTTCCTTTGTGTGTGTGTGTGTGTGTGTGTGTGTGTGTGTGTGTGTGTGGTGGTGGTGGTACTGGAGACCTAACTCAGGACCTTGTGCTTTTGAGGCAAGTGTGGTGCCACTGAGCTAAATCCCAGGCCCTACCTGTTTTCAGTTGTATACTTTTAAGTTTTCAGAACTAAAGGGAGAATGCCGGCTTTTATTTGGGTCACATGAGACCATGGGCCAGGTGTGAAGATGACTCATTTCCAGCACTCAGGAGACTGAGGCAGGAAGATGGAAAGTTCAAGGGCAGCCTGGCCTATACTGTGAGATCCTGACTCCAAAGCAAAGCCAAACAAAAACCCCAAAGAATGGGGAGGGGGATTAACCATCAACCAGGTGTGATGATGCATGTCTAGAATCCCAGCATGCTGGGAGGCTGAGACAGGAGGATCACAAATGCAAGCCCAGCCCAGGCAATTTAGCAATTTAGTGAGATCCTGGATTCAAAGAAAATATATAAATAAAGTTTTCCAAGCTCAACTCTTGTGAGCTGGACCCCAGCCGGGCTCCCAGGGTTCCCAACAGGGAAGCTGCCCTTCCCATCCCGTGGCCGGAGGGCTTCTGCTGATTCCCAGCTACTTTGTCAGTGTGTGACATCTTTGCTGTCCCCTGCCAAGGCCACCCTGTCCTGAACACCCAGACATCTCAACCCAGCCTGAGCAAGCTGACCCTGAAACTTAGCACCCACAGCCTTGTCCATGGTGTGGCCCGGATTTGAACACAGGGCCTTGCACTCAGTTCCTGCTCTTCCCTCCACACTGCTAGCCTTTGAAGTCAGGGCCGGGCCTGCATTTTCCGTGGGCCGAGGCTGAGCCATGTGGGGGTGACATCCCATGGCGTGGGGGTTGGGGGTTTTGTCCAGAGGCTGGCACAGCCCTGCCTGGTCCCCGTCAGCCACTGTGAGCAGACCAGAGGCCCCAGGCCGGCAGGGTGGGCAGCAGTGCCAGCCTAGTAGAGCTAAAATGAGGGAGGCAGCCCCGCAGGGAGGCGAGAGGGGGCAGGGTGCCCTGGCGCCCATCTGACCGGCTGAGGGGTGGACAGCTGGCGACAGGACCACAGAGCTGTGCCTGCCGGGCTCATCCTGCCCTCTGTCTACCACAGCCACCCCTCCAGAAATAGCTGTGACCACAGGCACAGAAGGGAGCCAGGCAGGACTGAGTGGTCTCTGAATGAGCCAGCAGCAGTGGGGCCGCGGTTTCCCTCACTGTCAGGCGCTGCCTTGGGGTTGGGGGTGGTGGTAGTCTCTGAGGCTGAGGTCTGGGGGGCCTGGAGTTGAATACGGGGATTCAGAGTTCTAAAGGAACAATAAACCAGGTGTGGTGGTGCATGCTGGTAATCCCAGCACTCTGGGAGGCTGAGGCAGGATCGTGGCAAGTTTGAGTGCGGACTGAGCGGCTTAGGGACCTAGCAACATAAGAAGGGCAGGGGTGGAGCTCAGTGCCCAGGCCCTGGGTTCAATCTCCAGTGCCACGTGAGACGGGGCGGGGACTTTTACCTGGAGTCAAACTTCTTGCCATCCTGGAAAGTGCCGTTGTAGTGATAGCGCACGAAGTCCCCCATCTGCACCTCACGGGGACAGGCCCTGGGGATGTGGTACCGCTCGATCAGCACGTCTTCCAGGGGGCCCCCGCCCGGGCTGGCCCGGCCCAGCGCCCTCCCCACGGCCTGCAGCGCCAGCAG